GTATGAGTTACATAGGGTAAGTGTATATAAAAAAAAATTCTTAGATTCCGATCGTCTGGTCAACGTTTTACATCTTAAGGTATTTTCTGGCAAGTTGGGGGAGTGTAAAATGTTCGGTTACACCCGAACTTGGCCCTTCCTTACTTGTTCTTAGTATGTCTGGATTTCAATTCTGCGTAATTGCTTAATGTATTTTCAGTTCTTTATCCTTTTTTTTGTTTTTTTTTTTACTGATTACCAGATTACCAAACCTGGACGAAGTGTTCGATGAAGTGCAATATGTAAGAAAGCGAAATCGAAAAGTCCGAAGAGATGTCTACGTCAGACCGAGAGGAAAGACTAAAAATTCAAAAATAAGCATCTATAAGATAAGATTGTGAAATTGTAGAGAATAAGTTTAAAACTGCATATTGCTCCGGCATCAATGAACAGTTAGTTAGCAAACAAGAACTGAATGAAAAACCATGCCATGGTGGACACGAAAACATATTACTTGTGCATGTTCGAAGTTTATTCAGGAAAAGAACCCGGTGGAAAGTATCAGATATACAATTCTCCTTGGTAACACCTGAATATAAATTGACTCTTGTTGGTACATTGAATAAAAGGAAGCCTGACATCCTAACTGATTTTTTTGCGAAACAAAAATAGCTCAATATGTAGTTCAGTTTTCGAATTCCATAATGAAATGGCTATAGTCTCATATGTTAACAAGCCCAAGGAAACCGTTGTTTTGTTGTCCTCCATGCACAATGTTAACGCCATTGACGAAACATCAGCCAGAGCTCGGAAACCAGAAATAATTACTTATTGCAATAGTATCAAAGTTGGTGTGGATAGTAATGCCGCACTTTGCTTTGTCTCATATGTTCCCAAGCCCAAGAAACCGTTGTTTTGTTGTCCTCCATGCACAATGATAATGCCATTGCCGTAACATCAGCCAGAGCACGGAAACCAGAAATAATTACTTATTACAATAGTATTAAAGGTGGTGTGGATAGTAATGCCGCACTTTCCCACAAGTATAATGTTGGAAGAAAAACTCAAAGATGGCCCACTGCCCGAATTTTTTCATCTTCTTCTTCGTATTTGGCATCAACGCATTTGTCGTACACAAAGCGAGTACTGATAAGAGTATCACACATATAAGACGAGTTTTTTGGAAGAATTTAGCAGCAATATATGTGGAAGATCACTAAAAACGTCACATATAGAAGCATCCGCCGAGTATATTTTTTTAGTTGATCTCAGCCATGCAAAAACAAAAATTGTTTAGAGACAGGTTACATTTATTTTTTCACTTTTATTTAGTCGTTGTAAAAACAAAAAATCGTTCGATCAGGCCCGAGTTTATATATTTATAAAACAATTTTTTTTGCCCGATTGATTTTAGATGAATATATGGTTGTCACCGCAAGTACCTTTACCTGGGTCAACACAAACAACTATAACTTTGGAAATTAAATTTTTTTTAAATTTTCGTGACTTCAAGTCAACCAATTCTATAATAATGCCATATTACTACTTTTGTAAAATAACACGATTTAATAGCAAAAAAATACTGCAAATTCTTATTTTTTCGTGCCCCTGACTACCCCTAACCCCTTAATATTATTTTGAAAACTATAACATTTCGTAAAAATGCAAGAGCTGTTAAAAGACAAGTGAAAATTCACTTAAGAGTATTAGAATGTAATATAATAAACCTCAAACTAAACTTTTTCTTAATAAGTTTGCATTTACAAAAAATACATATTTCAGAAAAACTCAGTTCCATCCCGGTGTCGTCCAAGACAGCAACAGGAACTCTACCAACGCGACGTTTGCCAACATTGACACGTAATCTAAATCTGACAACCGGAAATAAGCATCACCGAAACGATTACAACACGCTCGGCTGTCACCATTTCAACCGTACCGAAGCGCATGACACGCGCTACCTCTACGGCCGAAATGGTTGTGATTATACAAAATACTGAAATTAAACATCTGAGTGTCGATAATGGCTTTGTTGGTAGTAATTAAATATAATAGCAGGACGGGAATTATTAGTGACTTATAGAGTTCGGGTTTTGTTCGTCGAGAGAGGACTTTACTTCTCAATTGCCTACTCACTCCGAAGTTGGCACCTGTTGCCAAGAGTTATTCTGTGTTGGATTTCCAGTCTAAAATTGTTCTTGGTGTTTACATTGGTTCCAAAATAGACGAAATTATACTACGACTTCATGACTGTCAACAGTCACGTGAGAGCCAAGTTTGTTTGATGACAGATATTTCGTCTTGCCCTCGTTCACTGCCAGAACCATTTGCTTTGCTTCTTTGTCCGGTCTGGAGAAAGCAGAACTAAAGGCGCGACATACGCCAGCAGTTGTGTACTCTTATAAAAGATTATACCTGCTTGAAGATCGAATTATTTCTCCAGAAGCAGGTTGAAGAAGTCACACGATAGGGAGTCGCCTTGCCTGAAACCTCCTTTGGTATCGAACGGCGCGGAGAGGTCCTTCCCGATTCTGACTTAACTTTTTGTGTTGCTCAACGTCACAGCCGTATTAGTTTTGCGGGGATACAAAATTCAAACATCGCGGCATAAAGGCAGCTGCTTTTCGTGCTGTCGATAACAGCTTTGAAATCGACGAAGAGGTGGTGTGTGTCGATTCTCCTTACAGGTATTTCCAATATTTGGGGCATGGTGAATATCTAGTCGGTTATTGATTTGCCAGGTCTGAAGCCACACTGATAAGGTCCAATAAGTTTGTTGACAGTGGGCTTTAATCTTTCACACAATACGCTCGATTGAACCTTATATGCGATGTTGAAGAGGCTAATCCAACGATAGTTGGCGCTATTGTGGGGTCTCCATTTTTGTGGATTGGGCAGAGCACACTTAAATTCCAATCGTTGGACATGGTTTCGTCCGATCATATTTTACAAAGAAGCTGATGCATGCTCCTTATCAGTTCTTCGCCGTCGTGTTTGAATAGCTTGGCCGGCAATCCATCGGGGCTCACTGCTTTGTTGTTCTTCAGACGGGTAATTATAATTCGAACTTCTTCATGGTCGGGCAATGGAATGTCTGCTCCATCGTCATCGATTGGGGAATCGGGTTCGCTTTCTCCTGGTGTTGTACGTTCACTGCCGTTCAGCAGACTGGAAAAGTGTTCCCTTCATAATTTAAGAATGCTCTGGGGATCGGTCACTAGATCAACTTTGGGGGTTCTACAAGAGTATTCTCTGGTCTTGAAATTAGAGCATTACCCCTGTCGGCCAGCTTATCAAGCTCTTCATACTCACGCATTTCGGTCTCTTTCTTTTTCTGTCTACAAATGCGTCTCGCTTCCCTCTTCAACTCTCGGTATCTATCCCATCTCGCACGTGTTGTGATCGATCGTAACGTTGGGAGGTAGTCATTTTCTCTCCGCTGCGACACGGCACACCTCGTGGTACCAGCTGTTCTTTTCTTAAAATGGTTTCGGTTGCAGCTGTACGTAAGGAGTTTGAAATGCCGTCCCACAGTTCCCTTGTACCGAGTTGTTGAGGAGTGCTCTCAGAGAGTAGTGGTGCAAGTCGAGTAGAAAATCGTTCGGCTATCTGTTGACTTAGTTTTTCTCCCACCACGAATCCCACACCAAATTTGCGCTTCTTTGTATGTCCCATCCATCGCATTTCTTGGGCGGCGGTGATGTCAGCCTTCACTCTAACGAATACATCAACGAATACTCAAATCATAGCCCTTAATTTGTGTGCCATGGTTGTCATCAAAAGGGGTTCACTCATCCGAGGCATGTTATTTCTTTTCATTGGGTGCGTTTTTTACGTGGCGAGTTCCAAACCCAGCGCACAACCCTGCGGACGGCATGTTTCGCCTTCTAACTTTAGCTCGCCTTCAAACGGATCTTCTTAGGCTATATATATACTTGATCAAAGACCGGACGTCGTGAGCTACTTGAGCCATATGTAAAATAATCGTTTCTGGCCATTCCCAAGTGAATGGCGATCACATAACCTTCCTCACTTGCGTGAACTTCTACACATAACACCATCCTCGTAAATGCATATATAGTATATAAAAAATGTTATTGCTACCTCATATGCTCATTTGTACATATACCAGCTTCAATGGGAAATTAGAACGTGTGTAAAGTTCGATATCTTAGAAATGTAAATATAAATTTAATCTAACAAGCAATTTTTGTGGTAAATTATTGTACAGCCTCTTTTGTCAACAACAGCGATTTCAAAAATAACGCCTGCACATTTGTGGCCAAAGTAGCCAATGCAGCAAAAATAAGATATATCATTTTGTTTGTGTTAATTTTTCCGTGCAGCATCTGACAACTGGAGTCATTCTTTTCTTTCAATAACATACGGCAACCGTTAAATGTTTTCTATTATTATCTGCTATCTCGTTCACCCCACCAACGAGCATGCGCTCGGTGTACGCGAAAATCACGCCACTTTCCAAAATGACAGTAAACCTATATATATATGTACATATGTATATAAAAAATTATACAAGTTTATTTGTAGTATTGTTTTTGCACACACACCACGTGAAATATTTTTTTTATTGAGGTGCTCATACTCAGTTGAGTACAATGTCAACAAGAGTTACCAGATATATAAAAAATAATTTAAATTACGCACTGTATAGTAGTAACGACATAAATTATGTTTGTTTAATATAATTTTTTGCATAATTTTGCTGTAAACGCTGAAATAAAGTCTATATGTTAGAACTTGTATTAATCTTTCGTAGGTAATTGGCACCTGAAATCGTAATTCGCCGACGCCTGGCAGCACACAACAAATATGAGTCGTTAAATGTTTTAAAAACTGCTCAATTCAGCTGTCCATCATTTCGCTCGTGCAATTTCATTGTGATTCACACATTAAAAAGTGTTTAAATTTGCTAGATATTATTATATAGTTAATACCATATGCATAATCAATCCTCGGGTGTCATTATTAAAATAGGTGGGCTTCAACAGCGTTTGCGTTATTTTATTTACTTGAGTATTTGTTCGTACGTTGGTTTTTTTTTGTTTGTGGCGGTGGTTCGCAATGATGACGTGACCGCGAGAGAGCACCGGTAACAAATGTATATAAACAATAAAAAACTGCAAAGGCAACATAATCAAAGAAGAAAGTGAGCGTGCAGCAGAGTGAATTATAACAAGAACAACATGGTTTGTTGTTATTGTTCTCATGGAGCGAGAGAGTGTATAATCAAACTAACACTTTAAGGGGAAAGTGCGGCGATAATAGCGAAGACGGCGACTTTATCTTCGACACTTCATACGAAAATAGCAAATAAACTGATTCAGAAGTAAAACTAACGTGGCCGAGAGTATTCACTGTTTACATTGCTGCAAATAAGATTTTAAAGAATAAAAAAAAAATAAAACGGGTGTGCACCAAACATTCTATTTTTTATTTCTGTGAATATAGTAAAATAAATATTTTTTACCGTTTAATTCAAGTATAATTCAACGCAATAAATTACAACGTGTGTGTGTGTGAGAGTAAGTAATAAAAAGCCCAATGGCATTGCAATGAGCATACCTTATAGAAATATTTAGACTCAATAGGGAAAGGTGGTGTGACCAACTGACAAATGCGAGTTTTTACGAGTTTTCTGTTAATATTTAGTTAAATATTGTCTACACGACCGCTACCGAGTTAAATTTTAAGAATAAAGAAAATAGTGCGTTTAAATGTCATTGCTGCGAAACGAAGTTATGTGCAGGTGTGTGTGTACAAAAGTGCATTAAAGTAATATAAATGAAAGTCAAATTTGAAAGATTCTATGTTACAGCGAATATTGAAATTTTTTACATGAAATATGTGTTATTTTACATAATGTTGCAGTTTTCGTTGTAATATGGTTTTGGACGTGTGTGTACGCCTAACGTGTGAAAAAAAAGATGTATGATGTGTTCTTTAACAATGCAACGAAATCGGCTACGAAAAGTCGATTGTAGGTTTAATAATTTTATTTTACATATATGTACATACATATATTTTAGATTAGTTGGTTTTTCTCGATTCAGGTAAAATGCATTGTTGTCTCTATTAAAATGTCCCCTTTGCTTTATTTTTTTTTCTACCGCAATGTTCTATCTACAATAACTGGAAATCAACACAAATTACTTTTTCGCCGCAACAACAACATTGATTATAAAAACTAACAAACACAACGAATGCGGGACGGCAAAAACAACTATACGCATGTATGAATTTACGCTAACAAAACAACGCATCTACAGCAGTTAATGCCAGTTAGGACAGGTAAATTTGCAAATAAACTAACGTTTGTTATAGTATTTGTGTATTTACAATTTTTTTTATGAATCGTCTTGATAAATAATAGTAAAATAAATTACTATTTCATATTTTACATTGTACTACATTATGTGACAAATTGTGTACTTGCAGTTACCTATTAGAATGTAAAAGTAGTATAGTCGTTTTTAGCGCGTTTTATATATTTTTGGATTGTACGGTTTTCTAGCAAATTACAATGGAATAATTGTACTTCTGTTAATTAAGCAAATTCTTAACAAGAAAAAAGGAGAACTTCGTTTGCATTGAAGTTTTAATAACCTTCTCAAATAGAAAAATACACCCTAGTACGCCAGTAAATAAACAGAAGTACGCATGTGAGCAACGTACACCTATTTTTCCCCTTTTTTCTTATTTTATGTTTTTCGCCGCTTTTTTCAAACAATAAATTGTGGTGAGGCGACGGGCCTTCATTATTATTTTGGTTATTATAAATGCGAAATTTTCTTTGTTTGCGGCTTACAAACATACATGTGAATGCATGAGAGTGCAGACAAGCAACCCATTTAGCTTTATGTGCAATATTTGTATGTACATACGTAAGTCAAAACTCAATTATCCTCGCGTTCAACAAATACAAAATATTAAATATCTATGTATGTATGTTGCATACAAACTATGAATTTATTTGCGTTGTGTTTGCATTTGGTGCGGACGCAAAAGCTTCAAAAACGATTATAAATGTACATATCACAAGCTAATTTTTTGCAGAGAAAACTCATATATGCATATACTTACATGCATACATACATATACAGACGTGTTCGAAATAATAAGAACAACCAAAGTGAATATCGAAATCATTGAATAAAAGTTTTTCAGTAATATTTTATTGAGCCTTTTTTTCTTAAAAAATTTATACATATTGTGAGTATTAAAAAAATTAAAAATCTGGTCATCAAATACGCACTAACTTTTTTGTACTGCAAATTTTGTTGCATTGGGTCTTAAACAGCCTGTTCGAAAAAATAAGAACAAA